AACTACAATAACAATAATGAAAAAATTAAATTAATAAATAATTAGTCTTTTTTTCTGTACTAAATATGTTGGCGTTGGTTATTGTGCAGTTGGTAAATGTGACTGAAATGTTTTTAGTTTGTGGTGTATGCAATATTTTGTTCGAGATGTCTACATTTTCATTATTTATATCTATAATTTCATTATTAATGGTGTTTAATGTTGATGTATCTTGAGATTAGACTTTGAGACAGGGAAGAAGTAATGGCTATTTATTTTCTATCGCGCTGCGAGATGGCGTTGCTTTGTAATGAAATAATAAGTGAAGCGTGCGGTAATAAAGCGGAAGCGTGCGGTAATAAACCGGAAGCGTGCGGTAATAAGTTTGAAGCGTGCGGTAATATGTTGCGTGTGAAATTGGCTACTTTCCGCACGTAAAGCATGCGCGTAATAGGCTACTTTCGACGCACGTGTACTACAAAATATTATTACGTACATTTAAAATTAAAAATACAAACGTACGTTTGCACACAAGACATTATTGTACACATACACATTGCGCACATGACATTATTGCGCTTTGTATAAAAACTCGTAAACTCACGTTGAACCTCGCTTTGTTTGAAATTTTTACGCGTAGGCGGCGGAGGACTTCGCCCCGTAGGGGCGAAGCCTCTCCCCCGCGTAAAAAAATAACAAATCCTACTCAGGTTATACCTAACAAGGTAAACCTAACAAGGTTAACCAAGGTTCACAAACAAAGTTGTAAACCCATGTTAAACCTCGTTTTGCATGGAAACAATATGCGCAATAATATTATGTGTGCAATGTGTATGTGCGCAATAATATTATGTGTGTAATGTGTATGTGCGCAATAATGTCATGTGTGCAATGTGTATATGCGCAATAATGTCATGTGTGCAATGTGTATGTGTGCAATAATGTCTTGTGTGCAAACGTACGTTTGTATTTTTAATTTTAAATGTGCGCAATAATGCTTGTAGGCAATCGCTCTGTAGGCAATCGGGAATATCGGCAATTGAAGCTGTCGGCAAAATGTTGTAGACAAACGAAGCTGTTGGCAATCGGGAATGAAGGCAAACGGAGCTCCCTCGTTATTATAAATATTTCATTAGAGAAATAGGTTCCTGCAGAAATTCACATGTCAACGGATATGAGCAACCTTACAATCAAAATATTAATCATTTTAGTAAGCCACAAACTTCCAGGAAAAAAAATTATCGCTATCCAAGTCAGTCGTTTCGACATTCAGTCTTTTGCAATCGTTAGTGTCTAGCAGTTGAACGATTAAAATCGGGGAATTGCTGAGAGTTTGTAACCCCTGTATTCGTAGGCTTCAAAATTTTTTAACGATTCTCTGGTAAGTGAGATAGTGCGCAAGACATTTTACTTTGAATGTTTAAAATACAGTATATATTTTGTATATTTTGTATGTTTTATTTTTTTAATATTTAAAAACAATTATTTCAATACATATATCGATAAATAAAATTTATATGGAAGATATCAATGAATAATATATATAATAACGTTGTAACGCTTTTCAGACGCGAGACTCATCTTGATTATATCGCTTTTTGATTTTCATCTGATAAGCAAATATTGCAAACAATCCATAACCATACGCAAGGATGTTTTCTGAAAATAATCTTGGCATAGATTATTCCAGCATATCTAAACACGAACTACGATTGCGTGTTTGTAACAACGAAAGAGATCTTGACGAAATTTCACGTAGCTTCGCTAAATATTGTATCGACCTGTATATCGACAGACGTCAGAAAACCATGATGAATCAGCATCCACTTGTGAATATGAGTAGAATTACAAAATTCAAAGATTTATGTAACAAAGATATTGTAGGCAGCCATTTTTCCATCACTGACGTCATAAATAAATTTGATTTTGTTTCCGGGCTAAGCCATGAAATTGCAGATCATTATACGACGCATTCAAATTTCAGAAAGTACAGTCTGCCGATTTTTATTATTCTCGGTCTTTTAGGGAACTGTTTGTCCGCCATTGTACTCTTCCGTAAAAAGATGCGTTCTTCCTCGTCCAACATCTACTTGGGCATGCTTGCAATATGCGACATCGCCTATTCAATGATATTACTTATTGACTGGCTTTTTTTATTGGGTTATATAAATCCAGAAAGAATTTATTTGTATTGTTTATATATCTTCGTAAACTTTCTGTTCTCCTTCTCCGAGTTCTTGAGTGTGTGGCTTATAGTAGCCTTTACTATCGAGAGATATATAGTGACAAAGTATCCGCTTCTACGTCGATCCTGGTGCACTGTCAAACGAGCAAAAATTGTAGTGATCATACTGATGGGACTAGCGATTTTGAACGGCATTTTAAATATTTTTTATAATTTTGAAAATAAACACTATGAAATATTAAGAAGAGAAATGAATAGCTATGATATATACAAACTTCTACAATTGGTCCCGAAAAAAATTCAGCTAATAAAAAAGATTACGGATTCTATTACAATATTTAGTCTACCTGCTCTCGTGATAGTAATCTGCAATTTTCTGATCGGATACCACATTTATCAGCAAAATCGTGTTCGCAAAACCTTGTTTACAGCGTCCGATTCCTCTAATGAGAGAACTCAGATTTCTAAGGATAAAATGCTTCAGCATAAGATCACAAAAATGCTTATTCTCGTTTCGAGTCATATTT